GTTGCACCGAAAAATATGTCGAGTGAGATTTGAGCTCTAGGTTTGAATATAAGTTGGAAAAGGTACGTAGAACTAAGATTTACGATTATTGATGAAATTTGATAAAAAAAAATTAGGATTTTTAGGGAAACGTGCCAACAGTGCATATATCAGCTTAAAACTGTGATTTTACCAAATGAAAGAAAAATTCTGGATTCATCTACTCAAGGGAAATTAAAGGACGTTGGCTAATGTTAAATTTTGGAGTTTATAAATAGTTTAGGAATTATTTGGAGATTGGTAGTTTAAGTGGAAAATTTAAAATAATTTGAATTGAGTGATGTGTCAAGTGAGACCCACTTACTTAAGTGACTTAGGAACATAAGCCACCAGCCACTATTCACTCATCTTTCTCCCCATTCTCTCTCAAAAAAATCGAGCTCATCACCATGGAAATGGGCAAGTTTGTGCTCTTGATTTCTCCCTCCATTTATCACCAAAATGCTTAGTGTGCCACATGAAAATTCAAGTAAACAACCTTCCAAACACAACACAACCATTAGTAGCTCTTGAAATTCTCTAGATTTAAAGAAAAACTCTACCCAAGCCACAAATTTTTGGAGAAAAATTGGTGTTCTTGGAGTTGTTTGCTTCAGGTAATGCCATAACCGGAACATCAGCCATTAATGTCTTTAGCTAGTCAAAAACCACTTGAGGTTCTTCACTACATTTGAAATTATCTTTCTTTAACAAATCTATCAAGGGTTTGGCAATCTTACCGTAGTTCCTTACAAACTTCCAGTAGTACCCAGTGAGGCCCAAAAAACCTCTAAGCTCCGTGATTTGGGTTGGGGAAGGCCAATACAAAATAGCCTGGACTTTGGAGGGATCAGCTATCACCCCATTGCCAAAAATAATGTGGCCCAAATACTCAATTTGGGTCTGCCTAAATTCACACTTCTTTTTATTCAACACCAGATGGTTCTGCCTCATCACCTTAAACACTTTCCTTAATTTCTCCACATGCTTCTCTTTAGTTATGCTCTAAATTAATACATCATCCAGAAAAACTAACACAAATTTTCGCAAATACGGGCATAGCACATCATCCATCAGTTCTTGAAAGGTTGTCGGAGCATTGGTGAGGTCAAATGGCAACACCAAATACTCGTAATGGCCTTCATGGGTTTTGAAGGCCGTCTTGGACACATCCTCCTCCCTCATCCAAATTTGGTGATACCCAGACTTTAAATTTAACTTAGAGAAAATTACAGACCCCCCCTAATTCAGCTAGTAGTTCATCAATTACAAGCAAAGGAAACTTATTGCGAATAATGTACTTATTTAGGGCTCGATAGTCTACACAAACCCTCCAACTTCCATATTTCTTTTTCACAAGAACTATTGGACTTGCATAAGGGCTGATGTTATGCCTAATCATACCCTGACTCAACAACTCACCGATTTCTCTATTTCAGTCTTTTGATAGAAGGGATACATGTATGGGCGATTATTTGTAATTTCGCTACCTAGTTTGAGCATAATAGCATGGTCGCAGCTCCTTTGTGGTGGCAGCCCCATTGGTACTTGAAATAGATCGAAAAAATCCTCTAGTAATGACTCCAACGCCTTCCACCAGTGAATCTTTCCTTCCTGCTGTGCTCTTCTTTGTTCCACCAAGAATCCTTCCCTGTTTTGTTGCAGTGCCTTCACTATTATTTTGTACGACACCATGGTTCGAGATATAGACGCATCACCAGTAATGATGACCTCCATTCCTTCCTGTTCGTATTTCAATGTCATTTCCTTAAAGTTTGCTCTGACTTTGCCCAGCCCTCTGAGCCAAGCTAACCCCATAATTATGTCTACTCCACTTAAATCGTACAGATGAAGAAGATCTTGACAGATTCTATGCCCTTGCACTGCGAGCACGACCTGTGGGAAAATTCCTTGGCAAGATACTTGATGTATGCCCCTAACTTGTACGAGGTAACTGGGTGTGTCCTTCATCTTCAGTTTCAGCTGTTTGGCTACCTCCCTTCTAATAAAATTGTAAAAGGTGCCACAATCGATCAGTATGGTTAGTTTCTCCTTGTTCACCATTCCCCACAAGCACATGGCCTGACTGGAGTAAAGACCCATTAAACTCTGCATGGACAGTTGCACTACCATTATTGCTTCTCCTTCGTCCGCCTCCGCTTCTGCCGCTATTGGATCCGCAACCTAATTTTCCTCAGGTTCGTCTTCATCGTCAACGATAATCAAAAGAAGTTGTCGAGCTTGACAATGGTGTCCCGGGCCCTACCATTCGTTGCACTTGAACCAAAGGCCAAGACGAGAACGCTTTTCCAGCTCCACCTGGGGCAAACGACGGTTGTCACTGCCTCTAGCCGCACTTGCCTGACTCTCAGCGTTTTGAGGTTTGGGCATGTTTTGGGAATTAGGGTTTGTTTGCCCACTCGTTTGCTAATTGATACCTTTACTTGTATTGGGCTTTGGGTTATGACGAAGGCCCAAACCCGGCTGAGCCACTCTAGTTCCCAGTGAACTGGTATTAGTAAACCGGTTAGTATAGGCCCAATTAGAAGCGCTTGCACTTGAGCCCAACCCCGTTCCAGGCTTCTTCATCCCCTCCGTTGTCCAAGCTTGGTTGCGTCGTTCGATCTTCGTGCCATTTTCATCATCTCACTCAACTAAATCATGGGATGCATTAGTAACTCCTCTCTCACGCTTTCACAAAGCTCGTTGAGCCACACCCCTCTCAGTAGCTCTTTGTCCTCGTAGCGTAAGGGGCTAACTACCCTTTCAAATTCCCTTCAAAACTTTGTTACTGTTCCGGTCTGCCTCAGAGTGAGCAACGATCGCAGCGGATTATCCACCACTTTTGGTTGAAAACGACTAAGGAGCTCAGATCGAAAATGCTCCCAAGTGGTGTTACCTGTCTTAATCTCCCACCACTAGAACCAATTAAGTGCCTCGCATTCTAAAACCACCCAAAATCGCAGCCACCTTCTCATCGTCTCTTACTCCATTGATTAGGTAGTAACGTTCCACCTTGTTCAGCCAACCATATGCATCCACCCCATCGAAATATGGGTAGTTCTAATCGACGTCCAAAGGGTTCCATCCGTCTATTTCGCCTCGGATTCCCCTCCACTTCACCGTCAGACCCCTGTACCCCCCACCGCGAGTTCCTCTGGTTCTTCTTTGACCTTCATCATCAAGATTTTTCGTTCTGATTATTGGGTAAAGATTCGTCCAACCTCCTGAGAATCTCCACCTAACTCTCTTCTGTCCTTCTCACTCTTTCCATCAGTTCTTCATATCGAGCTTCCATATTGCGCATCACTATCATCCATAGAGCTCCCAGATCGGAGCTCTGATACCAATTGTAACAACTAAACTGGGCTCAAGAAGAAAAGAGAACAAAATAACCTCCGTATTGAATTTTGAACAAGACTTACAAATATTCTCCTTAGTGTTTAATCTCAAAAACAACAAATTAAAGGAAACGTAAATGTAGAATAATAGCGAAGCAGTAAGAACGATACAACCCAGAGCATTGAGGAGAGGCTCTGATTCCCTCCCAATTTCCCAAGGCTTGAATTACTTCGATTCCAAAATGATCCTCCTTTCCTCACTCTCCACTAATAAAAACCTCATACCTTGCGTCTTGCATGCCTCTGTCAATAGAATTGCCCTCCACTTCCTTTGTTGTCTCAGCAGAGTTAGTTACGGTTTAGGATCCTCTATTTTTATTCCTTTCCTTTCTTGCATACACCTGTCCATATTTCTTACATGGCAAGTTGGTAATAGCATCCTTCTCTTTCCTTCTTCCAAGGATGATGCAAAGCATCAACTGAAGATTGCATATTTTGGATTGTCCAAAACGAAAGAAGAGACTATCAATGCTCATTATTCAAAGTTCAGGTTTAGAGGGACATCATTATACATGTCACCAGAATCAGTTGTGGGTCAGATTGAAATATCATTGGATATATGGCCTCTTCTTGGATGTATAGTAATTGAGATTATCACTGCATTATATGCATGGAGGAACCTTCGAACTTCAAAGGAGATGATTCCAAACGTAAAGGAGATAATATATAAGCTTGCATTCTTTAAAGAAGCACCAGATATACCTAATGGACTAAATGAGGATGGTAGAGATTTCTTGAGCAAGTGTTTTATCAAGGACCCTAGTCACAGAAGGACTGTTAGCATGCTTCTCAACCGTCCTTTTCTTCTTTTTCCCATATGATATTTTTAGAGGTTATGAAAGATTTCATGTGGTTAGTCTGTCCTCATCATTTTTCTCTTACTATTGTGATTGGTTATCATTTAAGCCATAACATAGGTGGGTAAGAGGATACGTTTGTGGTACAAATTCTGTTTTTTTTTTTTTTTTAATGTTTCGTTCTTGATGACAGGTGTTGAGATATATAGTCCCACATTGGTTGTATGTGCAACTAATGTGGCCTTTATAAGGCCTTGGGCACTCCCACCCTTTGAGCTAGCTTTTGGGGTGGTGTATCCCAAGGTTCTTTACATGGTATCAGAGCATCGCCGTCCCCCACTTTCTCTTGTGACGTTTCTTAGCACAGGTAGGCTGGGCCTGTTGCATTGTCCACTCTTCAAGCCCAATGGGCTCTCGTGTGAGGGGGCGTGTTGAGATATATAGTCCCACATTGGTTGTATGTGCAACTAATGTGGAGTTTATAAGGCCTTGGGCACTCCCATCCTTTGAGCTAGCTTTAGAGCTAGCTTTTGGGATGGTGACCTCAAGGTTCTTAACATGGTATCAGAGCGTTCGAAATCTCGCTGCCCCCCACTTTCTCTTATGGAATTTCTTAGCACAGGTAGGCTGAGCCTGTTGCATTGTCCACTCTTCAAGCCCAATGGGCTCTTGTGAGAGGGTGCGTGTTGAGATATATAGTCCCACATTGGTTGTATGTGCAACTAATGTGGAGTTTATAAGGCCTTGGGCACTCCCACCCCTTGAGCCAGCTTTTGGGGTGGTGTATCTCAAGGTTCTTTACAACAAGATATATTTTTTAATGAAGAGAAGTATTGTTTATAACTCTAACAACAATATACCAAAGTAAAAATAATTTGACATATGTTCTAATTTGACCTAAGTCTCCGTAAGGCTAAAATAAAGTGTAACTGAAATCTCTGCATATTACCAGTAAGGTAAGTCACCAAATCTATATAATTCATACAATTCAGTTTCAGCTTATTTTCCAAAACCAGAGTTTGATCTCCTTGTGTATTCTGCAACTAGTTGAGCAAGAGAAGAAGATTTATTCTTAAGCAGTTTCTTTGGTGAATCATATTCCTCGATAAGCCCTGCAGAATCAATATGAAGAGAAATCATATTTACTTTTATGAGAAAAAAAGAAAGTGACAAATATAGAAGGAAAAAAAAAAAGATTCTTAATTACCTTGATTTAGAAACAGAACCATATCACTATCAATGATTGAAGTTATTCTATGAGCAATGGTAATGACTGTGCATTCTGAAAAATGTTGCTTAACTGTTTGCTGAATAATATTATCTGTGGCTGTATCAACTGATGCAGTAGCTTCATCAAGCACCAAGATCTTACTTTTCTTAAGTAGAACTCGACCAAGGCACACCAATTGCCTTTGACCCATACTCCAATTTTCTCCATTCTCAGTAACTGCAGAACACATGATGATATGTTATACATTCTCGCTACATTTATAGATATAATTCGGACTTGCAAGACATCCTATATCTAAGTTTAAAGTTTTGAGAAGTCAAACCTATGGAGTCAAGCTTCTCTTCTTTCTTCCTTACTTCATCTCCAAGTTGGCACATATCTAGAGCCTATAATATTTCTTGAAATATATTAATATGTGTAGCTTGTACTAAAAAGACAATTACTTCATAAAAAAAAAAAAAATCACTCTCCATTAAACCCCGACTAGTGAGGGTGAGATGAGGACAATCCTTGAACGTAGTCTCACCCTTACATAATTGCAATGACACTGCTTCTCGGATTTGAACTCGTGACCTTTCAGTCATAAAGGAACAGCTTTATCACTGCTCCAGACTCACCCTCTTGCTATGAAAAAAAACAAATTACCTCCCAAATCTGTTCATCTGTGTACTCTTCCAGTGGGTCCAAGTTGCTTCTTACGGTCCCTTCGAACATTGTTGGATCCTGGGGGATAATGCTTAGTCTGGAACGTAAATCATGAATTCCAATCAAAGAGATGTTAATTTTGTCTATCAATATGTGTCCAGCAACAGGTTCAACAAGTCGGAAAAGTGTTTGCACTAGAGTTGTTTTTCCACTTCCAGTTCTTCCCACAATGCCAGTTTTTGCTCCAGCGGTGAAAGTGCAAGTAAGACCACGTAAAACAAGCGGCAAGTGAGGAGCATACCGAACCTACATCACAACTGCCTCATAATCATAGATTACATGAAAAACCAGCAGAGACTTGGACCAAAAAAGTATAACTGTAGTATTCAATTCAGAATGAAACAAATGAATAACCTTTGGAAGTTACCTGTAAATCCTGGATATGAACCTCTCCAAATGATGGCCAAGAAAGATCTGGCTGGTTTTCTTTAATTACGAGAGGAGCTTCATTTGGGATGGAGGTGTACTGAAGTATTCTTTCTACAGATATAATTTTGTTCTCCAAATTGCAAAGATACCAGATTAAATTAAATTGTATAGCGTTCAGATTAAGCCCATATGTCACAGCCAATCCCGCAATACCTTGACAAAAACAAAATTGAAGTAGGAAAGGAATGAAGTTTTATGCCTAGTGTCATAAGGAGTTAAGTATGAATAGTGAATATATGTAATTTGAACTACTCACCAGGAACAGTAATTGAATTTGGAAAAGATATCAAGAAAACCAAACAGAAGGCAAATGTGATAGTGGATAAAATATCCAATCTGAAATTCAGCCATTCCATTGCACAAGCATTGTATAATTTGGGTTGGGAATATCTGTCTATCAATTTCATATTCATGTCATTGAATCTTGATTCTTGTTCAAAACTTCTTATGGTTGTTGATCCAGAAATCGTTTCAGAAAAATGTTGTATAACTGGAGCTTGGCATATACCAACTAATCGTGCCAGTTCCCGTGCTGACGCAGAGTAGTATCGCTACATATATAGAATCACTATGTTAACTTACATAGTGCTATTGTTCACACAATAATGTCAGTGAGATTCAAGTTTTTCTCTTTTTCTTCATCTCAGAACACTTTAGAAATGTGATAACATTAAGGGCATTTTTAAATATTTGATCAATGAGGAAAACATGTGCCTTGAAAAATAAAGAGGAATGAAAGTCAAAATCAGATTTATGTGGTGACATCTGATATAAGTGGTGTCAAATTATATAGGTTAGACATTATCCAGAAAACTACCTGGTACCATATGCAAGCTGCCATGACAGGAATCAATACTATAAACACCTGCCATGCAGCTTGAGACATCACAGCAATATTTCCCATGAGCTGAATCAGATTGAAGGTGATTCCCCATACTAGATTAGGAATGGTCATATCTAATGCACTTTGGTCTGTTGAAGCCTGCAACAAAATGCAAAACTAAAATTTAGACAAACATTTACATTCAATATGGTCATTTGAAAAAAGGAATTAAAAAATAGAGAAATCAAACTATAAAAATCATGCACTATGCCATGATAAATAAGTTGTCTCTTGAACATAAACTAGTGAAGAATTATCAACATATTATGACATACTCTATTAAGAATTCGCCCACTTGGGGTGGCATCAAAAAATGACATTGGTGCTCGAAAAAAGCACAAGTGCATTTTATTGAAGAGCATAGTGGCTGTCTTGTATCCAGCTATCACAGAAAGAAATGCTCTGCCAAGGGTGCCAAATGAACTTCCAATCGCCAAAGCAACATAGACAACCATAAGTGTAAAGCTTCCAATATCAGGTTCCACAGTTGCCGAAACAGGAGTTGCCAAAGCCATCCAGTAATTGCTTCCAATCTGGAAAACCACGGTGAGTGTCTGTGAAAGTAGAATGAAGGGTACAAGAGCTCCTCCATAAGCAGTTGTGATGTATTTCCAGTAGACTTTAAACCCAACTCTACCCTTTTCCCGCTCTTCTTCTTGAACAAGTTGGCCTTTTGGCTCAACTGTGTCATCTAACTTACCATCTTGATCATCTATGTTTTCCATATTTTGCTCAAGTTCAAAATCACTTAATGAATCTGCGTCCTCCATGGTGACATTCAATGTTTTGAATGTGGACCTTCTCTCTAAGGACTTAATTGAAGACAAAGCAGCTCTATGTGCACCTACAAGTTCCATAAAATCAGTACCTGTCTTGAGAATGTCATTGTATTTTCCTGATTGAGTTATCCTTCCTTCTCTCATAACCTAGATAAAATGTAAGCAAGAGAAAACAACTAAGACCATAGGAAATTCTGATGTTTGAATTCATGAGCATGAAATCTAGTAATCACTCACCAATATTAGATCAGCATCAGGTAAGAACTCTACTTGATGAGTTATGTATATCACAGTTTTTGTTTTCAAAAGGCCAAGCAAACACTCCTGAAACAGTATAGTAGTAAATATAAAATTAGATAACTGCCTGTCCCTCCAAATGCATAACAAAAGTAGTGTAATTGTATTTGAAGAATATCATCTATCAAACAAAAATTAAGAATCCAATTCCACGAGGTTATAGCTGTATCCATATCCATAATATACGGTTGGAAATTATAGAGAGATCAGAAACATATAATACCACGAAATCTTCTCATTATACAAGTGATAACTCCACTTGGAGTAACACCTAACGATGCAAAAACGGGATACATTTTTATACTCAACTTGGTGACATCTAAACTCAATCTCAGTTAATTTTTGAGACATTTATATCAGAATACAGTGCAGTTAATACTCCTCAAAATCTAGAATGTTTAGAAAGATTAAAAGATTGCATTAATAATTTGGAAGTCTCAAAACACTTTTACCAAGAAAAAAATTAGTTTGCACAGAATAGAGTTTACAAAAATAGTACCTTGAAGAGATGAGATCCTGTATGAGCATCCACAGCACTGAAGGGATCGTCAAAAAGATATATATCAGCATCTTGGTAAAGAGCACGGGCTATTTGTACTCTTTGCTTCTGTCCACCACTCAAATTGATTCCCTTCTCTCCAATAATTGTCTGGTCACCAAATGGTAGAAGCTCCAAGTCTTTTGTCAATGAACATGCTTCTAGCACCTTCTCATACTTTTCCCTGTCCATCTCTTTACCAAATAATATGTTCTCTTCTATCTTGCCACTCTGTATCCATGGTGATTGAGCAACATAAGCCTTTGTTCCGCACACCTTCAGGGTCCCAGATAGCTTTGGCACTTCCCCCAGTATACAAGAAAGTAAACTAGACTTGCCTGATCCAACAGTACCACAAACAGCAACCCTCATACCATGAAAAACTGTGAGATTTATGTTTTTCAATGTTGTATTAAGGGAAGAAGATTCCCAAGAGAAATTTCCATCTACTAATTCAATTGCTTTATCAGAATTACCCCGTGGAAGCTTCTCCACTACATCAGTCTGCAAGTCATCTAGACGAAGAAATGATACGATCCTATCAAGGGAAACCTTAGTTTGTGCAATCATTGAAATTGTGTCAGGAAGACTGTAGATGGGCATTTGAAGAATTCGGAATGTTGCAAGTGCAGATAAGATCTTCCCTGATTCAAGTGGAATTCCTATAATAACACAAGTACCAAAAGTAACCACAGCAATAAAAGTTGGGGCATTAAAGAAGAGAAATCTAATAATTGCTGAACCAACTAGAAATTTCTTGAGCCAAATCTCTTCAGTCTTCCTAAGATGAATGATCTTTGATAAGAACTTCATCTCCCATGCTTGCAGTTTTAGAATCCTCATATTCGTTAGAATCTCAGAAGTCGCCTTCATTCTTTTATCTTTGAACTCCATTACCTTACCTTGCAACTTTTCTTGCAACGATGCCACAGGAAGGTTTAGCAACATCACAATTACAGTGGCAGCAAAAGCAGCTATAGAAGCGATCCCTACATTTCTATAGAGAATTAACAAGGCCAATGCAACTTGCAAAACAGCCATCCATGGATCATGCATGTACCAACAAAATTCACCAATCCTTGCAGCATCAACAGTCATTAAGTTGATGGTTTCCCCACTGCTGTGACCCTCCTTTGATTGACATGAAAGGGTCAAACCTTTAGCATAGATCATTGCCACCAGCATCGATTGCGTCCTTACTCCAACCTGCTGGAACTTAAACATCCAGTGCCTTTGTGAAAGGCACTGCACAAGCTTTGCAGCAATAAAGGCAGTAACCAAAACATAACCTTCATTTTTAAACTTTTCCTCCCCATTGAGGTATTGAACAAGGAAGTCAATAAGATAGGGTCCAACATAAGAAGCACATGCGTATGTGAATGCAAACAAACCTGATAAAAGGATCCCTTTCCATGTTGAGACTATTAACACCTTCACCAGCTTAAGAGTAGTCACTCTCCTAACACTGCCACACTCTGACTCAAGCTTGTTTCTAAAAGCTGGAAAAGCCCCATAGGCACTGTCACTGCTAGCAAGTAGTGGGAGGTCCTCATGGTCTAAAGTCTTTTTATTGCCTAGAGTTATTAGTGGACTCATCCATGAGAAAGTAAGAATGCTGAAAAATCCAGCATTTGAATAACGGGTTAAATTTTCATTTCCTCTGGTCTTATTGGGATTAGAATTGCTGGTTACACTAGATTCACCATTCAAAAGGGCCTCTTCAAGAGGGGCAAGTTTAGACATGTTGTTCACAGAACATCCCAGAAATAAACCCGTAATAAAGGAACCTATATCAGAAACGAGGGGTATAACTGGCAAGAAAAAATAATTTCCATAGATTTACAAAAGTGTATAACAAGGCAATAAGAGAAAACAAAGGCATAGACAAGCTCCTCCTAACCATCATCATGTTTATAACACAAGGTTAAACACACAAATAGCTAAGCTGCATAACAGACTGTGTTTGTAGTACAAGAAACAAGTCTCATTCAATCAATTTCTTTCACTCTTTTCTATATGGTGCCCCTTGGACTTTCTCACATACCCATGACACAAGCAACACAAGTAACAAGACTAAGCGGAGTGAAGCAGATAACTCACTTTGTGAAAGTGATTTGGAGGAGAAAATCAGTTCCATGGTGCATCATGGAGGAGTAGTGAGAGAAGAGTAATAATATACCTTACTTTTTCAAAACAAACAAGAAGTTCCACTTTGGGTAGATTTTGCTAGGTGAAGAGTAATGGTTGACTTATATAGAGTGTTCTCCTAAAGGATAAAAGGTGGCTGGTGAGAGTGAGAGTGAGATAACTGAGATTTATTTAAGGAGAGGATGTTCAAGAAAGGTTAGAAACTTGGTGAATTCCAATTATAATAAAGTAAAATATCTCTTGTATCCTCCACCACAAATACTGGCCCATTTTAACTTTTGAATAAGTATTTTTTTTTTCCCTAACGAAAAATACAATCTTCACTTTAGTCTTTTACAAAAATAAATTAGTCACTTAGTCTCTACTTTAGTCTTTTACAAAAATAAATTCAGTTAGTTTCTAACAAATTTAAAGTGGACCCATTTAATTGAAATCGTGATCCCTTACAAATTCAAAAAAGACTCATATTAGTCCCTGAAAAGAACTAAAATGGGTCCAATTTAAATTTGTCAGGGACTAACTGACTAATTTATTTTTGTAAGGGACTAAAGTGGAGACCGTATTTTTTGTTAGGGACCCAACAGGATATTTACTCTTAATTTTTTTAAGAAAAAAAAAAGAGTTCATTTATTATTTCTCTAAAATTTAAAATAGATTCAAATAATGAAAATTGTGAATCCGAAAACTTAAATTAATCTCTCAAAATGACTAATATGGATCTATTTTAAATTTCAAAATAACTACGAGTCAATTTTTTTTTCTACGCTATTAAATTATGTCCCGAGATATTTATTTAGGACCAAAAAGTAGTTTATTCTTATAAGAGTGGGAGCTTTGAAAGATGTTGATTTTGCTTTTAATGCAAGTGGATGGCTAATGTAACCACTTAAATTAAAATTATATCTCAATATAAAATAAATAAAATAATTATTGCAAAATGAATAACAAATAATAAATAATCTATAATTGAAATCGTTTAAGATTTAATCTATAATTTATTGAAGGGTTTTGTTGTCGAAGCCTCTTAATAAATAATATTTTGAAAAAAAAACCCATACTAATATATGTATCTCTTATACTTTTTTTTTTTTTTTAAAACGAAATTTATTTTCATCCACTTCCTCTCCCCCCGTTTTAACCTAAAAATAGTATCTGAATTTATGTGTAAATAACTAAATATAACGTTATTGCTTTAGCATTTTAAATAAAATTTTCTCAACCTTGGGATCTGTTAGTATTCCTGATTAGATATTCTTCCAAGAAGTGTATATAGGCAGGGCCAACATTGTTTGTCAAATTAGATTTTCGGACCATAAGGCTTTTGGACTTTTTGTTCGAGGTTTGGTCCCACAAACGCAAGAATTTCATGGTACCATTACACCATTTCCTTTGCACTCAAACGGTTTTGGACATGTTGCTTGTGTCCAACGTAACATATCTTATTCCTTTCAATTTCAATGCACATGTTTTGACTAACTTTTGAATGTCACGTGAAGCTTCCACTCTGGGACCGCGCCATTTGTTTGGTTTACGGTTTTAAATTTATTAAAGTACTAAAACTAAATTTTTTCAGTTTAAAATTAATTTTGACAATGATTTTTTTTTTTTTTTTTTATAACAGACAATGATTTTAGTTGTTTAGATTAAGATATTAGAAAAACTAATTTTCAATCTACCAAATTAGAAACTAAATTTCATTGCAATAATCAATTATTAAAGTGAAATTTGTATGTTCAGCCAAAAAAATAAAAAGTTAATTTTGTGTCAAGAAAATAAATTTTGAAACATTACCCCACAAATATGATTTTAAGATAACGTCCAGCAATATGTCAAAAAAATTTCGTTCAAACAACAATAGGACCAAAAAGTGTGTTCAAGCATTTCCATTCCTTTGTATATGCCACCCACAAATCTTCCAATATTTGTGAAGCCAACCTCAAATTTCCAATACAGAAATGGAGACTCTCACATCCCGGGATGTAGTTTGAACTTTGAAGGATGGCTTGACAGCAGCCGTAATTGCATATAACTCCCTCACATATGTGGAAGCATTAGACATATGAATTCCCAACTTTTTACTGAAGAAGGAGATAGGTTTTTCATGTTGCAAAAGGACGCACCAATGCCAGTGATGGATGCATCTGTTTCAATCACAAATCGATCTATAAAATTGGGAAGAGCTAGAATTGGAGTGGATGTCATAACTTGCTTTAACTTTCGAAAAGCTTCAGCTGCCTCAGAAGTCCAGGTAAATTTGTCAGCACCCTTCAAAAGATCCGTTAAAGGTAAAGCTAAGGAAGCATAGTCTTTAACAAATCTCCTATAGTAACCCGTCAAGCCTAAAAACCCACGGAGTTGTTTAAGAGACTTAGGCTCTGGCCACTGCAACATTGCTTCAATTTTCTTGGGATCCGCAAAGACACCTTGTTTGGAGACAACATGACCCAAGTAATCAATAATGTCAGCCCCAAAAGCACACTTGCTGGCCTTTAAAAAAAAATTTGTGTTGTTTCAAGCACTGCAAAACTAAGGTAAGATGCTGCACATGCTCCAAAATTAACCTGCTAAGAATGTCATAAAAAAAACAATGATAAATTTGCGAAGATAAGGTTTGAAAATATGATTCATCATGGCTTGAAAAGTAGCTGGGGCATTAGTCAAACCAAAAGGCATGACTAAGAACTCGTAGTGGCCCTCATGAGTTCGAAATGCCGTCTTCGGAATGTCAGCAGGTCGCATCCTAATTTGGTGATATCCCGCTCTCAAATCTAACTTGGAGTATATAGAAGAACCTCCCAATTCATCTAACAATTCATCAATGGTGGGAATTAGGAAACGATCCTTAATGGTGGCAGCATTTAGGGCCCTGTAATCAATACACATACGCCATGTGTTGTCTTGTTTCTTAACCAAAAGCACCAGAGAAGAATAAGGGCTATGTGAGTACTGAATGAACCCAGATGTAAGCAATCCGGCTACTTGCTTCTCGATCTCTGTTTTCTGAGAGTGTGCATACCTATAAGGCTTAACATTTATTGGTTTAAAACCTTCCAACAAATGTATAGAATGATCCATGCCACGAAATGGAGGAAGTACAGAAGGAACAACAAAAATCTCCTGGTGAGCAAAAATTACTTCCCACAAACTCGGTTCCAGCTTATCCTCTAGTGCTGCAATTTCAGAATGGACCTCAACTGTAGTTGCCTGCCCAGATAACAAGTGCATAGAACAACACGTAGCACATTCTTTACTTGTTTGGAGGTTAGGAGAATGTCGCTCCTGTGATGGTTGTGTGCCTTGAAGAACCACAGCACCTCATTTCCATGAAAATTCCATGGTGAACTTCCTGTAATCATGAGTCACCCTCCCAAGCAATTGTAGCCATGGCATTCCCAAAATAACATGAAGGTTAGCTAAATCAATTACCCAGAAATCAACATGAAACAGGATATTTTGCAATCTGATAGGTACTTGCATGCATTTATAATCCGAGAGTAAAAATTCCCCATTACCAAGGAATACCCTTAATTTTTGTGAGCGTACCATTGGCAGATTAAGCTGTGTAACTAACTGGCCCTGTATGAAATTGTGAGTGCTCCCTGAGTCAACCAAAATCGAAATGAGTTTACCTCGCAATGAGGTAATAAACTTCAAAGCATGTTGGTGTTCATTCACACATAACGCATGCAAGGAAGCATCCATGTGTTCACCCAATCCTTGCTCAGTATGCCACACAATCTGTTCTTCATCCGGATCAGGTTCCAGAGAACTGTCTTCACCTATTAGAATCATGAGTTTGGACTTGCATCTGTGCTGTTTGGTCCACTTCTCATCGCAAGTATAGCATAAGCCCAACTCCCATTTCTTATGCAAGTCCTCATTAGACAAGCGTTTAAAATTGGAAGGAGGAGGCAAAGCCAATGGTTGTTGTGAGTCGAGCCCAAGGCTGGTGGAGCAGTCTGCTCAACAGAGGTAACAGGTTTAGGAAAAACCCTTTTCGAACCACCAGAAAAAGAAGCTCTGAGTTCTCCATGGTGGTCATTGTAAGCCATTGCAAGTTGAACAACTTGATGAAGGGTGATGGGTCCCCTCAATTGTACCGCACTTCGTAACTCCGCTTGCAATCCCGAGACGAAAAAATTCATTAGTAAATCATCATCCAATTCAGGCACTTGATTCACCAATGATTCAAAACGTTGTATGTAATCCCTTAAAGACGAAATCTGAGTTAACTTGGATAATGCCCCTTTCAGATTCACAAAGGCAGACGTACCAAATCTTTGACGTAAGGCCAAAGTGAAAGTTATCCATGTATTGATCGTCCCCCCGTTAAACATCCACTGGAACCACGCCGTTGTCGTCCCGTCCATGCGAATACCAGCCAAAGGAACCTTGGAATCTTCCGGAATGTGTTGGAGAAGAAAGAAAAGTTCTGCCTTGAAAATCCAAACATTCGGCTCTATTCCATTGAATAATGGAATTTCCATGCGAACGCCTTTGAGTAAGGTACGCTGATCAACCACATGATGTTGATTGGGATTAGGTTGCGAAGACGAAGTATCAACATGCACCTGGTGTGGAATTGCAGAAGAATCCCTCGCTGGAGGCACACGCGAAAGAAGATCATCTTGAAATTGTTGCATTTGCAGTACCAACAACGAAATCTGAGAACGTGTATCTGAGGCTTGAGTGCGAATCTCTTCCAGATTTAAATCCACACGCTGCTGGAACGAAACGAAATTGGCATCGACACGCTCTTGAAACGTATTCAACTCCTCAGAAAGTTCTTGAATCCGCATCGTGAAAGCACCAATGATAGGGTATGAACCCTAAAAGACAGAGGAAATAACAGAGAAAAGGAAATGAAAATTGAGAATTCTTTTATTGATATCCAACTCTTCTGTTTTCAAGTATTTATATGACACCTTTGTGCTATATTCCTAAGTATAACTACATTGTAACTGTCCTAATGCAATCAACTAATGAATGGACTAAAATAACAACAGTGACAAATCAAGTTACAAAGCCATCTAAATGACTTGGGCCTTTCTTGGGCCTAGATGACCTTCTTAACGTAACACTAAGACATCCATCG